TGCTGCGAACGACGATTAATCACCCTTTCAGGTGTGGCGACGAGAATTTAGCAAGCGTCGCTTCTTTTGCAAAAAAAAGCCGTTTTTGTTCGAATATTTATTTGTGCTTCCTCATTTTTGCGGATTTTATGTCGTTGAATATGAAAGACTGAACTTTCGTCATCAAATGTTGAAGCCATTGATCCTTCTTGTACGAATTTTCAAGCTTCAACCTGAAGTTTCCAAAAGAGATGAAGTTTAAATTTCAAGGACTTTAGTTTTTCGATTATATTGATCTGGATTTCTTGGGATCGTTTCAAAGTTCAAAAATATCTTCTGATGAATGATTTAGTCTCAAGATTTAAATTCAGGGTTTCCAGAAGTTCAGACCACTGTCAAACGAAACTCAAGTTCGACCTTGGTTTAATTTCCATTGACATTTTAGCAGGGTTTTCCACACTATTTCACAGTTTACGGACCCATTCACAAATTTTAAAATAAAAAAAAAATGCGAGGAAAGTTACTGAAAAATAGGGAAACGGTTCAACGAAATTTACCTTTTTATGGAACATTTTAAAATGTATCTGCAACCGAACACGTATATTCAACGTATCTGTTGGATCGTAAATATTTTCAGTCGGATGATTTTTGCAATAATTTAAATTGTTTTATTGGACTGTTTGCGAATGTAAAAGACTGCTGACCGTGTGATATGGTGTAATTACATCCAAGACTCTTCTCATTCAGTATGGGCGAGAAAAATTTAAACATAGGACAGGAAGTCATCAAGTATTATTTACTCTGTAAATTGTCTTGTCCATTCTTCAATCTGAAAAAAATCATAGCGAAGAAAAAAACACAATAATATTGAAATACATTACGTGATATTCTTCTTGAAGAAAGCCTCGCATTTTATTTCAGCTTCTCGTATTTTTGGGTCTCAAATTTGAGTCGTCCCTTTGCCCGAATGGCTGACAAAGATGTATTAATTTCGTTCACGTAACTTATTTCTTCGGGACTTTCCCAGCAGAAATTCTCGATCTTCAAAGAAAAAAATCTTACGTAAATACGACTGTTTTATTTTTTGCGGAGGCACCGACTGGAAACAAGTACAGTAATCGATGCCAACCCATCCGCTTTTTTTTTGTATGTCCAATTTTTTTTTCAATTTCGTAGGGTTTCTCTGGTTAAACACGCCACCCTTTTTTCTTGTTCGTTCGTCAGGATGGAACCGGCACAGGTTATGAATACGTATATTCATGAGGATAGAGTTAACCCGGGGGGGGGGGGGGGGGAAAGGGGGGTCCCATTTGTATGACCAGGCATTATTTGTCCTTGGAGGACAGTTTTCCTGATTTCTGGGGGGGGGGGAAAGAGGGTTCCCATTTGTATGACCAGGCAGTACTGTACTGGGACTGGGAAAGCTGGTCCAGCTGACAGGCGAGGAACCCGTCACAACAACAGTGTGAGGAGGAGTAAGAGAAGGGGAAATCCTGCTGATCCGCCCCTTTTGGGGTTTCCCATCACCCTTGGAAAAATAGCTGGAGGAAGGAGGAGGAGGAGGAGGACACTTGTTTTTTTATTTATTACCCACTCTTCTCTCTCTCTCTCTCTCTTTCTCCCTCTCCCCTTCAAGGTGAAGAGAGAATGACAAGGAAAGAAGAGAGAGAGAGTGTGTATGCATGTCTTATATACCCCTGGAGAGTGAGGGAGGGAAGGAGAGAGGGGTTGGAAGAGGATCCCTTTCCAGTCTGTACTTGTTTCCGAGGTGAGCCGACTGACACGTCTGCGAATGGCAGACAATAATGGTGCTTTGTGGCAGCGAGATAAAATTTTTTTTCATGATTATTATTTTTATTTTTCGCAGTGATTTTCTGTCCCATGTGGTGTAAATTGTTCATGGAACAAACGTAGCGCAGGGTGTGGATGCTGTGCAGTTTCTGGTTTCTAAAGTTTTATCATATTTGAATGCGTTATTATTTCTGTCAATTTTGTTGTTAATTTGTTTTTTACACGAGAGTACTTTTTTTTTTACACGGGAGTACTCTCCAGCTTCATTTATCGTACCGCTTGCAATACCCGTGGTATTGTTCGCGTACCTTTTGTTTGACCCAAAGTACTGTACCACAAATATAGTCGTACAGTATGTATATAAGCATAAGAGACTGTTGTTTTCAGTTCTGGTTTCTGTTGGAAGTTGGTTTCTACATTGCTGCGAAAAAAAAGTGATTTATTGCATGGGTGATTTTTATCGTGAACCAAGGGGTTTAACGATAAATTTTAAAAATTGAAATCAAAATTCTTGATTGGATGGTCTCTATTTTTCGTTAGGTCTTTTTGACTTGTCATCCCTTCTTTTTTTGATTGCATTAATTCATGAATGATGGGTTAACGTGTTTATTGAAGATTTAATCTTTGATAAATGGCTATGAAAACTGATACGGTGTTTAAGATCACGTGTAGGAAAGAGACTGGGTAACGATTTTATGTGTTTCTTCTGTTGCGAGTTGGTTTTTTTTTTTTACTTTTTTCGATGCGAATTTTTTGCTACATCTTGGAAGAAAAAGTACAATAATTTGTATTTTAGAGCCAGAGAAATATTATTGGCTGTGAAACCGTTTTCTTCGCATATAGTCTCTAATGCATTCAAGTTCTCTTTGGGGAACATGAACAGGTACGTATACGTGCGTCTAAAACAAAGTTACCAACAGCAAATTTTCAATATGGAACATATTAGCAAAAAATCTAGACTTTCGAAAGATAAACATTACACATTTGGAATTCTGAATTATGCTTAAAGAAAAAAACAGAATAAACCAGTCTATTTTATGCTACTGAATGAATAAAATACTCTTGTTATATAAGGAATCCAAACAGTTCGAATATCATGCAATTCACTTGGATATATTTTTTCTGTCCTTTTAAACGTCGAATGTATCACCATGAAAATGCTGATCCAATAGTTTCACTATGAAAATGTCTAAAACACGATCAACGCAGTTCTCAAAAGCTTCTTTTAATAAGCTCAATAATAGGTGAAATCAATTTGTCCAGTTTTTACTGCACTTATTTGAATATTTCGAATTTTGTCCTGTTTGTCTTTATGATTGAAAAAATTAGAAAATCAGTTTAAAAACAATTTACTGAAATGAAAATAATAGATTGAATCAATAATGGGTTTTACGCTGTCATTGAACATAAAAGGATAATTTCACGAGAGGAATTTATTTTATTCTGCTTTGATAATGTTTCAGTGCGCGCGAAAAATTTGTTCTTGCTGGGAATCGTTCTCATTTGGTAAAAATGATCATTCATTTGCCAATTTCCTGGCATAAACACCCGATTTCCGCAGGAGCTATCAATTTTTTTTCTGAAAGATTTATTTTTCGTCGAAGGTTCTTTGTCATTTAAGAATTTTCCATTGGTCCCAAATTCTTTGAAACCAGAAAGATTTCACCTGATAATTGTACCGAAAAAAGCGGAACGCAAAATTCCAGTCCGTTGTAGCTTAGTTTCAAAATATTGCCCGGTCACATTACTCATTATATCAGTTTTTTTTGTTGCTCATCATAGTAGTTTCTTGTTTCTTTTTGTAAATATCTCTTGTGTGCATGCTCCTCCGAGACTCGCTAATTTCATCCTTGCTAATTTCTAGTGTACACAACTCTCAGAGTAAATTAATCAGTGCTGGACTGCAGAGTAGACGATTGACAGAGGATCAATAAACAAATCAGACGTTTAATTTTTCGTCCGTATTTTTGGGGGAAAAATTATTGTTGGGACGAGATTTTTTTTCTTTTTCCTAGAAATGACAAAATTATTTATCTCGTCGTTGTCGGTTGCTTGTTTCCTCTGGCACCGGTGTCGAGAAACGACGGGCCAGTCGAGTGTCGACGCTCAAAGCGTGCTTCATTACTGTGTCCCTTTCATCACACTTTGAAAAGACTCAGTATCGTATTTTTGTTCTCTCATTTTAAGGGAAAGAAAAAAAAAGGAAGCCGATGATGATTTTATCACGTACCCTTAATTGTTTCATCGTTCCTCTTCTTGAGTTTTGGGAGAAAGTTTGGACTTTTTTTGAAAGCAGAAACTGTTTACCGTCATTTTTTTTTCATGCGAAAAACGGAAACCTTGAACGTACAGTATATTTTTTGCTCAAATTATGCACTGTTAGTTCATCCGCTGATTTCATCTTTCTTTTTTTGCCAGCACAACATTTTCAGCTCACTTTCCTCTTTAAATTCAAAGAATGAAAGCGAATGATGACTTTTTTAACGCTCCATTTGCTGTTATTTCGTGTACTTTTGTGAGGAGAAATTTTATAAATTTGCTGACAAAAAATTTTGCTCCGGGTTTTCTACTTAAATTGACACAATGGTCGCCGAAAAATAAAGTACAGGACCAATCGCTCCGAAATGAAGAAATATCATTTTGCGTAAAGTTTCTCCTGAGTGATCAAAAGCAGTGTAGTAGTTTTACGCTGTTCTCAATTTTTTGTGCGTGTAAAATTGTTTCAATATTTTTTCAGTGGTTATTCTTAAGAGGCTTTCGAAACAAAAGGGTTTCTTAGTTGTCTCCGTCATCATCGGTGTTCTTCTCTTCAGTGAAAATATTATTATTTTTTGTGCGTGTAAAATTGTTTCAATATTTTTTCAGTGGTTATTCTTAAGAGGCTTTCGAAACAAAAGGGTTTCTTAGTTGTCTCCGTCATCGTCGGTGTTCTTCTCTTCCGTGAAAATATTATTTTGCATCATCGTTTGATCGTATCCCGCGATTTGAGGTCTTCCGCTGTGATGAACTTTGCCAAAAAAAAAGAACACTTCTTTTCAATTTTACATGCAGTGTTTCCTCGTTACATAGATGCCCTATTTTCATGTCATGAAAACTTGCTATATTCACTCAATTATTATAATATTGCGATGGAAGTGCAAATAATTGATACCTCTCGAAAAGGGCAAACCTTCACTACAAGCAGACTTGGATTACGAATTTATAGGAGCCTCGTGAAGGTCGAGTGGATCAATAACTCCTTCAAGAACGAAAGGATGTTCGTTTTTTACATATCCTTGAAATCTTGCTTAATGTTTAAGGTGGAAGGATAAAACAAGGAAAAAAGTGCTGCGGGGCATTTTTTGCTTCCTGCTCTGATCCGAGATACATTCAAATTTAAAGGGTCTATATACTTGATTATCCACGGATATACGTGCTGGACTTCTTTTTCCTCGCGCCTCATTTTTTTTTCACCCTCTGCGTTATCCCCCAAAAAATGTGGGATTAATTTACTCTCGTTTTTGCCAATTTTTTTCCGCTGTGAAAAACGAAAAAATAATAATTCGCGAATGATGCCGCGACGGTGGCGTAGGCGAAAAAATCAGCTAAGCAAAATGTCCGCGACCGTGGGCAAGTCTGAGGAAGTGACCATTGCCGGGGGCGTGGGTTCAAAAAACGAAAAATAATAATTCGCGAATGATGCCGCGACGGTGGCGTAGGCGAAAAAATCAGCTAAGCAAAATGTCCGCGACCGTGGGCAAGTCTGAGGAAGTGACCATTGCCGGGGGCGTGGGTTCCGTTGGGCGCATTACAGTCATGGACTCGTCGTCGCCCGTGATGAGCAAAGCCGACGTCTCTGCCGTGGATCGCATTCAGTTCCAGGGCAAAGAAACCCCGCAATATTCAAGGGTAAAATCTAAGGAATATAGAAAGCCAATAACAAACAACAACGAATTATTTTTAAAACTAAACCACAGGGAAAAAAGCGAGATTTGAGAATGTTAATTCTCCCGAAAGTCCGAAGAGGATTACGTTAATGCTTTTTTGTGGATTAGGATGAATCTCAGATCGGTCAGTTCTGAAGTTTCCAAAATCGTTTGGCGATTTTTCTTTAGAAGGAAAAATATCTTCTCTAATCTTTTCTGGGTTGACTTCCCGCATTTGACATATAGTATAATTCTTATTCGAAGAATTTTCGACAATAAGCAATCTGTAGCTCACTTTCAGTATTCCATTTTTAGAAGAGAGTACAATAAAAATGTTTTTGCAGGGAACACTCGACAGGTTCACCTCATATATTACAATCGAATTTTCGAGCAATATCAATAGCATTTTAAAATTAGGTACTCTCACATATTCNAAAAACGAAAAAAAAATAATTCGCGAATGATGCCGCGACGGTGGCGTAGGCGAAAAAATCAGCTAAGCAAAATGTCCGCGACCGTGGGCAAGTCTGAGGAAGTGACCATTGCCGGGGGCGTGGGTTCGGTTGGGCGCATTACAGTCATGGACTCGTCGTCGCCCGTGATGAGCAAAGCCGACGTCTCTGCCGTGGATCGCATTCAGTTCCAGGGCAAAGAAACCCCGCAATATTCAAGGGTAAAACCTAAAGAATATGGAAAGCAAAACAGAGACAACAACAAATATTATTTTTTAAATTATAAACCACAAGGAAAAAAGCGAGATTTGAGAATGTTAATTCCCCGAAAGTCCGAAGAGGATTACGTTAATGCTTTTTCGTCGATTACGATGAATCTCAGATCGGTCAGTTCTAAAGTTTCCAAAATCGTGTGGCGATTTTTCTTTAGAAGGAAAAATATCTTCTCTAATCTTTTCTTCTGTGGGTTGACTTCCCGCATTTGACATATAGTATAATTCTTATTCGAAGAATTTTCGACAATAAGCAATCTGTAGCTCACTTTCAGTATTCCATTTTTAGAAGAGAGTACAATAAAAATGTTTTTGCAGGGAACACTCGACAGGTTCACCTCATATATTACAATCGAATTTTCGAGCAATATGAATAGCGTTTTAAAATTAGGTACTCTCACATATTCCATTTCTTCAACGTAATTCAAAAGAAATCACCGAAATGAAACGAAAGTAATTTAAAATAAAGCACCGAAATGAAACGAACTGCAGTACTGTACAACTCAAATCGATGAGTTCGCCCGATTTCAATATTGCAACTTTGAATCGATTGTATCTTTCTTTTCTTTTTTGAAGTTAAGAACACTCTAAATGCTCTTAGTTTGTCAGGTACTTTCCTGTTATCTATGTACCTACTTTCCTGTTATCTCTGTACCTTCCCTCTGACCAATTTAACCTGACCTAGCATAACTTCACCTAACCGCCTCCCAAAATCAGTTTCAGCTTTCTTTGGGTTTCTGCTGAAACTGATTTTGGGAGGCGGCTAGGTAAAGTTAGGTTAGGTCAGGTTATGTTAGTTGAAAGATATTTGTAACTAATATAACCTGAACTAACCTAACTTTACCTAACCGCCTCCCAAAATCAGTTTCAGCAGAATGCGGAAAAAAAAATTCACAGTTTCTGGTAGGTTGTTGTGATTATGAATGTGTCCTAAAGATTTGTCTGGATGGTAGTGTAGTCTAGGAATGAGGTACAGAGATAACAGGACAAGTGCCGTTTGTCAGATGTGTAGAGTTATTATACTGTATTGTGCCTTATTTTGAATTAACTTTTGAAGAATCGAAGAATCCCGATTTTCTGGCGAATACATTTTGACAGTTTTCTGTTTTCTTGTACACAAGTACTGTGGGCACTAGATTCTTCTGGTTGTCCACATATTTTTTCTCGCATTATCCAACCTTCATTTGGCAGGATAATTATCATTCATATGTTCCTAATTCTTCAAAATTAATTTATATTAAATTGTATGCGTGAATCGCAGCTGTTTACAGGAAATTTCCTCTGCAATCCCTGCATTTAAAAAAATTCGACACTGTCAAGAATATCGTTTTAGAGACCTAGTCAGGTGATCTCTGTATATATATAGGAAAGCGAAATTTGTGTTTTGCGTTACTGTAAAAAAACACACACGCACACATAACACGTGCACAAACAAGTGTGAAATTGAAATCCCTTGCCCCTGTTGTCGTCAAGAGCTCGTCATCGTCGGCCGAGGATCGTCCAGTGAGCCGGAAAAGCATCGTTTTGGACGTGGCCGAAGAGAACCTGAAGGACTCGTCATCGTCGTCATCCGTTTCTCCCAAACCCAGACCGGGTTCCTGGAGCTCAGACGACGCCGACGTCGTCGTCGTCGTGTCAGGCCTGAAAAATGCTGCCCATCAGCAGCCATCAGCCCTGGCAGTGTACGAAGCCAGCTCAGCCCAACACCTGAGGCACACTTGGGAAAGAAGCCAGTCAACAGCTGTTGTCGTTGCTTCTTCTTCTTCTTCTTCTTGTTCTTCTTCTTCGTCGTCTGTGGCACCAATTAAGCCGGCTGAAGCCCGCAAAGAACCCGCCAGTGAGCCGCTTTTATCATCCGGGGAAGGACGAATAACCAAAGCTGCTTTGATGCCACTCGATGCTGCGAAATCTGATTTAAAAGCGAATGCTGGTGTCGACACGGTTGAGAACAAATCACGACCTGAATCCCTCGAATCCACAGCGAACATCACTGGAAACAACACGTGTAATATCCAATCCACTTCAGCAGTTGCTGCTGCTGCCACTGGTGTGGCGCCGGGAGCGACATCTGTGGTCGTCGACTCTCTGCAATCATCATCATCATCTAGGCCTGATTCCGCCAAGAGTCTGGAGACTGATAAATCTATGATCACAAGCCCAACTGGAATTCAACACTCTGTGGGATCTGACAAGATTGGCAACACTTTTACTGCACCAAGTGTAGCCGCGACATCTGTGGTTGACTCTATGCCATCATCATCATCATCATCATCATCATTGTCACCCGGGCCAGATTCTGCCAAGAATCTGGAGAAGGAAAAATCAATAAATACAAGCTCTACATCAATTCAATCATCTGCTGGGTCTGACAAAATTGGCAACACTTGTACTACACCAAGTGTAGCAGCGACATCTGGAGTTGACTCACTGCCATCATCATCATCATTGTCACCTGCGCTAGATTCTGCCAAGAATCTGGAGAAGGAAAAATCAATAAATTCAAGCTCTACGTCAATTTCCCTATCTGCAGGGTCTGACAAAATTGGCAACTCTTCAACTGGACCAGTTGTTGCAGCGACATCTATGGTGGACACTGTGCCATCATCATCTTCACCCAGGCCAGACTCTGCCAAAAGTCTGGAGACAAGAAAATCTGAAATCAATAGTCCTACATCCTCAGCAGGATTTGATAAACCAGTAACGACATCTGGCGACAAGCCCTCTGAAATGCCTGGTGTGGCATCAGGAGCGACATCTACAACTGACTCTCCATCATCATCATCCAGGCCTGATTCTGCCAAGAGTCTTGAAAAAGCAAAATCTACAATTTCTAGCCCTGTCCCTGATTCAACCCTGGTTAAATCTGCGTCAGGATCTGACAAACCCTTGGGTGGTGCAAGTGAACCGATTTTTGCAGCGACATCTGGTGAGAAAGATCAAGTCCCTCTGAAACCAGATTCGGTGACAATTACTGAAACACAATCCAAGGAGTCATCAAAAAAAGAAACTGCTCAAGATGCTGCAAAGTCTAACACTTCGACACCCGAGTCTGAAAAAATTATGAAGTCCACAAGCGACAATTTTGAGACCAAACCTGTTGCAAGCATCCAAGAAGACACAAAAGTTGCTTCAGCCTCGAATGCCAAAAATCAGGAAATTAAGAATGAAGGTCTTCTTACAACTTCTGCTGATTCAAAGCCATCGATGAAAACTGATGAAAAACTTGGCGATGAAACTGATGATGCATTCCTGAAGACGGCTTCTGATGGGAAAGAATCATCCAATGACCCAAGACCCCTGTCTGCAAAAAGCTCTGGAATCACTGCTGGAGAAATTTCAGCAGCTGGTGAAAAAGCTCATTCCACCCCAGATTCTGTCCAAACCATCGAGTCTTCAATAAGTCCGACTCTTATTCCATCAAGTACTCCTGATTCCAGGCCTCAGTCAGCCAAAACTGTGGACCCAGAAAATATTGACAACCTCAAAACGACGAAAGATTCGGCAGCACTTGGCGAAAAAACAACCACTGAATCCGAACCAGTCTCTGAAAAAATCAGTTCTGAGGTTTCAGACTCCAATAAGAGTCCAGATTGCAGGCCACAGTCTGCAAAAAGTTTGAGCTCTTCAGAGCCTAATGACTCTAAGTCTCCTCAAAAATCAATTATTTCTGCTCTTGATGGAGGAGTTTCACCTGGTGCAAAAACTCTGGACGATTCCAGACCGGGTTCCGCTAAAACTGCTGAATCGAAAATCCCAGATTCCAGACCGCATTCCGCAAAAAATCTGGACTCTGAAAAGATTCTCAACTGGAAACCTGCCACTGAACTGACACCAGCAACCAATGGAAATAATACTACATCTCCTGATTTATCTACTAATTCTGGTCCGATTCAAGAATTATCAAATTCCAAAACTTCGGATTCTCGACCGTGTTCATCGAAGAGCGGGGACTCGAAGCATCAGACCGATGGCCTGAAATCTGCAGAAGCATCGAGGCCAGTTTCTGCCAAAAGTACTAGCAGCACTCCAGAAGGCAGTACTAGCCCTTCAGCAAACACCAGACCGAATTCCTCTAAAATCACCGAATCCTCGGCAAAATCAGCAGCCGCCGAAATTCCGAGCCCATCTGCTGAAAAGCCGGAGATTTCGAAAAAAACGGAAGACGAGAAAAATTCCGTTGAAATCCAAGAAACTTCTGCGAAAGCCGATGACGCATCCAAGAATGATGCCGAAATAAAAGCAATGGCATCTGGTGGTGATGATGACATTTCCAGTCCTCGAGACTCTTCGTCAATAATGCCTGATGATGATGATGCGAAAAAATACACTTCCGGACCGGATCCCGCGAAATCTGCCCTCGAAGAAAATAAATCATCTGAAATTGCGAAAAATCTCAATAAAGCTGCTGGTTTGAGTCTAAATTTATCCGCTGCCGAGAAAATGTCTCCTGATGCTGTCAACGTAATCGGCCAATCGGATCAATCAGTTTCCCTAGTCAATCCCGAAAAGGAAATTAGCAAAGAACCAGCTTCTCGAGGGGTCGAGAACCGACCGGAAGAAGACGAAGAATCAGCGACCGGAAGACACGGAATGATGCAGCAGCCGTCGGAATCTAGAGTTCCGGATAAAAAGGAACCCAGCCCAGCAGCCGACAGACCCGAAGATAAAGGTTCTTCTTCTTCAGAGACGAAATCAATATCCGCAGACACAACGCAAGTGACCAATAAGCCGGAAGAGAAGAAGAGCAAAAGGGTGTCTGTCGACATTGAGAGCAATTACTACAACACCGTCTTTTCGGCGGCTTCCGAGTCCCCAGTCCTTCCGGAAATTCTGCAAACAGACGACGAACCTTTGCCTGGACCCGGATCAGAACCAACTGCTGCTGGGGATGACGTGTTTTTGCGCGACGAGACGACTTCCGGTTCCGATGAGCCGAGAATCGAGCCAAAAGATGACCTGAAGCCATTAGCTGCGGAAGTCTGTCCTCAATCGGCTGTCTGTCCACCGAAAACCGAAGGTCTTTATTATTCTGTACCTATTTCAGCAAAAAAAACACTCATTTTATTGGTCAATTGTATTTTACAGTACTGTACTGTACTGTACTGAAATTGGAGACGAATCTTCGCCAATTCATGATTTTCGATGTCCTTAAAATGTCAGGTTTTTTCTTTTCGTATTTCTGGATTATAGCAGTTAATCAGACAACATTGACGCCTGAAATTGAAGAATTCTCCATACTAAAAAATAAAAATACAGTAAGTATAAATTACAATCGAGCCTCTTCAATTCGACCAGCAAAAATAATTCGAGTTGTGGATGAGGTTATGAGTTGAAGGGAAAAATAACATTTGTGCTTGGGGCAAGAGGAAAAATTGCAGGAAAATTTTAATTGGTGATATTTTAGGCCTCAAATCGCTTCTTGGATATGATTTGACAGGATGATGCTGAACTTGGAAGCGAGGAATTATTTGCCCAATTTATATTTCAATTGTACTCAAAACACAGCGTTGAATTTTCATTGCTTCACTTTTTCTTGTGTATTTGAAATAATAACCAAAAGAATTCCAGGAAAAATTCGAGCTATGAAGGTTCGCAGAGCAAAATTTTCGAGTTGGGGAGATTTTTAATTTATTGTTCATAAGGACTTGAAAAGCATTCGAGATTGAAAGGCATTCGGCTAGAGGATGTTTTGAGCTATGGAGGTTCAGGTGTATCACAGTGATGCCTCAAACTATTTACTCAATTTCTTGCCAACGCATGGTTTGGCACTTTTTGTTTCATCTGAATTGAGTCATCGAACCCATGTAATTGAATGAACTCACATTCTAAAACGAGTACTTTTATTTTGTAATGATTTATTTTAAATTTCTCCCAAAAATATCTGATTCAGTGTCCTATGGGAATATTATCAAAAATTCAACCAGGTATTCAAACTCCTAAAAACCCTTCGTGAATAATAACTCGATCATAGGCATTCGTGGCAAAAAGGGAAATGAACAATGAGACGTGATCGAAATTTTACTGTTGTTTTGCCGCAGTTCGTGGGAATCTTGAAACATTTAACGTACCGATCCGAATTCGACGCCATACCCAACAGCAAATTACTTCAAATTATGAAGCGGATGTTGGAGAAAATTTGATCCAATTGTTTCAAAGTATCAAACATAACTTTCCTCGTATGTGTATTTTTTCTTATGTCTGAGCCGAAGGTCATTTAAATTGGAGTATTTCTTGCTCCAAGTTCCAAGTGGTTATAGTTGCCTTCAAAAGCCATCCTCATTATTAACATATTTATAAGTTTACACCATGTTGTTCATCTGATCATCAAGTCTGATATGTTTCATGATCAAGAAGAACAAGTTTCGGGAAAAATCTTTAATCATGCAGTTTCTCATCTCATCTGAATTGACAGATTTATGGAGATATCCTGTACTAGGAATTTTGTCTGCTTATTGCTGGACTTGAGAGAAACTTCTCAATGGTAACCGAAGACGACATTTTTAAAGAATTGGATTGAAATTTCATGCAAAGCGTGAATCCGCGTAAAAGTATTTACAAGAGGGAAAAAACTTCGCTTGTGGCAACAACAAAAAATTATTGACTAATTAAATACTCTGCAGATTCGCGTGTATAGTTTTTACTCGTTTCAAAAATTTGTAAATTGATTCACTTGTCATGCGTGTCTCGACCAGAAAATATCTGAAACTCTGAAATAAATTTGAGCTTGTAGTTTGAGGTAGCACTGTGAAGTACTAATATATATTTTATAGATCCGTGGAAAATTTTTCCCGGAAGTGAAGCCGTACAACGTGGGTACTTTATCAGGGAATTTAAATTTAAATATATAAAAAACAGAGCATCACTGAGGATTTTTCTTAGTTCATCCGAAAAGCCGAGTAGATAAATACTGTATATTGTTCATTAGAAAAGTTTCGTTCAGCAAACATCATGATTTTGAAGGTCAACATTATATTGATTTAACATGGTGAAGTACTGCATTAGTACAGTCTTATTTTCTCTGAGAAGCGATTGATTCGTGAGGCTCAAAAGTCCTAGAGGAAAAACAAACCAAATTGGTGACCCTTCTCAGAGAAAACATGTGGGATATTTTTTTCCCCTGCATTCTTGGGATTTTCTGAACATTTTTCGCGTGATGCTTGAACTCCAGAACACGAGGATGATGAGATGGTTGTTGCTGAAGAAGCACCTCAATCATCACAGCCTCAACAAACAGACGACCGAATTGGAAGGTCAAAGGAAAAGCGAAGCCGGCTTCCAGCTCGTGTTTCCATTTCGCGTGAGTTTGTTATCCTCCCCCCTGCAAATATCCGTGGGGATTTTTATTTTATTTTTTGCACTTTTATTTTGGGGAGGGAACATGAAAAAAGGTTCTTCTGTATTATATGAACTTGGGACGACGACTATTTTGCAGAGCGACGCAGACAAGGCGGCTTTAAATTAATCAGCTCTCCGCGGGTTCGTGATTTATTGAAGAGCCCGGGTTCCATATTTTGTCTCCCTTTTTTTTTGCGATACCCCGGGATACATTTGGGTTGGAGCTTTGTAACCCGAAACCTGCACACCCCGCGATTTCTGGGCATCCTGTCCGTACCGTATTTTGGTTAATGAACACGGCATTTTAATATTTTTTTTTTCTTTTTTGGAATTGCAGAAGGCGATCACGACAGCGGAGTTGACGAGAACACGCAATCGGCTAATGTGAGTAATCCTTTTTCCAGTTTCTCTGCTGTCTCTGTATACAGTACAGTATCTGGGCTCTTTACCAAAGAAGGCCCAGTTTTAGTCCTGCACCAGCAGGGGTTTCTTTTCAGAAGTCCTTGAACCCTGCTTTATTCAAGACTGATGCATGTACAGTACTGTAGTTGGAGGCTTGAATTCTTTTTGTTTCATACTACGCAGAATTTATCAAATTTCTCGAGTAGGTTCCGAACCAAGATCTGCCTTCGAGACAAAACTAGCCCAGTGAAGTTTTTTCTTTTTTAATGAGAGGGATTAATTGAAATCCAAATTTATTTATTGCTTTGGCGTGTAAGTAAACAATTCAACGATAAACTGGGGAAAAAGAAACTCTTTTTCTACTTTAGAAAAGTACCCGAGTCAATTTTTGCAAAAATAGTAAGATTTTAGCTGTGAATTGAGCGAAAGAACTCTGAAAAATAAGAAGCACAAAACTATATTCTTTCAGCCCTAGTTTTGCAAATCTTGAAAAATACATTAAAACTGGTGACCGTAACTTCAAAAAGCGGAGCATCGAGATGCGGACATAATGGGTGATTGGATAAATTGAAATCCGAAGTTATTCATTACTGTGTCGTCCAAGTAAAACATTCAATGATAAACTGGGAAAAAGAAGCTCATTTTCCACGTTAGAAAAGCACCTGAGTCAATTTTTGCAAAAATAGTAAGCTGCGAATTGAACAAAAAATTTATTTCTTTTAGCAGCACTATTTTTGATGAATGAATGAACAGAACACTTTATTTGCCGCTTTTCAGCATTCACAAGAAAAACACTCATTTTATTGGTCAATTGTATTTTACAGTACTGTACTGTACTGTACTGAAATTGGAGACGAATCTTCGCCAATTCATGATTTTCGATGTCCTTAAAATGTCAGGTTTTTTCTTTTCGTAATTCTGGATTATAGCAGTTAATCAGACAACATTGACGCCTGAAATTGAAGAATTCTCCATAATAAAAATTAAAAATTAAGTATAAATTACAATCGAGCCACTTCAATTCGACCAGCAAAAATAATTCGAGTTGTAGATGAGGCTATGAGTTGAAGGGAAAAACATTTGTGCTTGGGGCAAGAGTAAAAATTGAAGGAAAATTTTAATTGGTGATATTTTAGGCCTCAAATCGCTTCTTGGATATGATTTGACAGGATGATGCTGAACTTGGAAGCGAGGGATTATTTGCCCAATTTATATTTCAATTGTACTCAAAACACAGCGTTGAATTTTCATTGCTTCACTTTTTCTTGTGTATTTGAAATAATAGCCAAAAGGATTCAAGAAAAATTCGAGCTATGAAGGTTCGCAGAGCAATTCCTTCGAGTTGGGGAGATTTTTAATTTATTGTTTATAAGGACTTGAAAATCATTCGAGATTGAAAGGCATTCGGCTAGAGGATGTTTTGAGTTATGGAGGTTCAGGTGTATCACAGTGATGCCTCAAACTATTTACTCAATTTCTTGCCAACGCATGGTTTGGCACTTTTTGTTTCATCTGAATTGAGTCACCGAACCCATGTAATTGAATGAACTCACATTCTAAAACAAGTACTTTTATTTTGTAATGATTTATTTTAAATTTCTCCCAAAAATATCTGATTCAGTGTCCTATGGGAATATTATCAAAAATTCAACCAGGTATTCAAACTCCTAAAAACCCTTCGCGAATAATAACTCGATTATAGGCATTCGTGGCAAAAAGGGAAATGAACAATGAAACGTGATCGAAATTTTACTGTTGTTTTGCCGCAGTTCGTGGGAATCTTGAAACATTTAACGTACCGATCCGAATTCGACGCCATACCCAACAGCAAATTACTTCAAATTATGAAGCGGATGTTGGAGAAAATTTGATCCAATTGTTTCAAAGTATCAAACATAACTTTCCTCGTATGTGTATTTTTTCTTATGTCTGAGCCGAAGGTCATTTAAATTGGAGTATTTCTTGCTCCAAGTTCCAAGTGGTTATAGTTGCCTTCAAAAGCCATCCTCATTATTAACATATTTATAAGTTTACACCATGTTGTTCATCTGATCATCAAGTCTGATATGTTTCATGATCAAGAAGAACAAGTTTCGGGAAAAATCTTTAATCATGCAGTTTCTCATCTCATCTGAATTGACAGATTTATGGAGATATCCTGTACTAGGAATTTTGTCTGCTTATTGCTGGACTTGAGAGAAACTTCTCAATGGTAACCGAAGACGACATTTTTAAAGAATTGGATTGAAATTTCATGCAAAGCGTGAATCCGCGTAAAAGTATTTACAAGAGGGAAAAAACTTCGCTTGTGGCAACAACAAAAAATTATTGACTAATTAAATACTCTGCAGATTCGCGTGTATAGTTTTTACTCGTTTCAAAAATTTGTAAATTGATTCACTTGTCATGCGTGTCTCGACCAGAAAATATCTGAAACTCTGAAATAAATTTGAGCTTGTAGTTTGAGGTAGCACTGTGAAGTACTAATATATATTTTATAGATCCGTGGAAAATTTTTCCCGGAAGTGAAGCCGTACAACGTGGGTACTTTATCAGGGAATTTAAATTTAAATATAAAAAAAACAGAACATCACTGAGTATTTTTCTTAGTTCATCCGAAAAGCCGAGTAGATAAATACTGTATATTGTTCATTAGAAAAGTTTCGTTCAGCAAACATCATGATTTTGAAGGTCAAAATGGTATTGATTTAACCTGGTGAAGTACTGCATTAGTACAGTCTTATTTTCTCCGAGAAGCGATTGATTCGTGAGGCTCAAAAGTCCTAGAGGAAAAACAAACCAAATTGGTGACCTGTCTCAGAGAAAATATGTGGGATATTTTTTTTCCTGCATTCTTGGGATTTTCTGAACATTTTTCGCGTGCTTGAACTCCAGAACACGAGGATGATGAGATGGTTGTTGCTGAAGAAGCACCTCAATCATCACAGCCTCAACAAACAGACGACCGAATTGGAAGGTCAAAGGAAAAGCGAAGCCGGCTTCCAGCTCGTGTTTCCATTTCGCGTGAGTTTGTTATCCTCCCCCCTCAAATAACCCCGGGGATCTTATTTTTTTTTTTTGCACTTTTATTTCGGGGAGGGAACATGAAAAAGGTTCTTCTGTATTATATGAACTTGGGACGACGACGACTATTTTGCAGAGCGACGCAGACAAGGCGGCTTTAAATTAATCAGCTCTCCGCGGGTTCGTGATTTATTGAAGAGCCCGGGTTCCATATTTTGTCTCCCTTTTTTTTTGCGATACCCCGGGATACATTTGGGTTGGAGCTTTGTAACCCGAAACCTGCACACCCCGCGATTTCTGGGCATCCTGTCCGTACCGTATTTTGGTTAATGAACACGGCATTTTAATATTTTTTTTTTCTTTTTTGGAATTGCAGAAGGCGATCACGACAGCGGAGTTGACGAGAACACGCAATCGGCTAATGTGAGTAATCCTTTTTCCAGTTTCTCTGCTGTCTCTGTATACAGTACAGTATCTGGGCTCTTTACCAAAGAAGGCCCAGTTTTAGTCCTGCACCAGCAGGGGTTTCTTTTCAGAAGTCCTTGAACCCTGCTTTATTCAAGACTGATGCATGTACAGTACTGTAGTTGGAGGCTTGAATTCTTTTTGTTTCATACTACGCAGAATTTATCAAATTTCTCGAGTAGGTTCCGAACCAAGATCTGCCTTCGAGACAAAACTAGCCCAGTGAAGTTTTTTCTTTTTTAATGAGAGGGATTAATTGAAATCCAAATTTATTTATTGCTTTGGCGTGTAAGTAAACAATTCAACGATAANAATTTCAAGTAATTTTTACAAATTTTTCCACAAAAACCAAAAAAATTGCATCAAAAAAGTTTGTTATAACGGAATTTCCAAGTTTGTTATAACGAGATTTTTTTAACATGTAGTCTATAGGATTTCTGCCGGGACTTTAAAAAAAGTTTGTTGTATCAAAAAATTTGTTGTAACGGTATTTGTTGTAACGAGATTTTACTGTAGCAGTAAAAGTTTATTTAAAGCACAAGGTCTTCAGCATGTTTTGCAAATCTGAAAAAATGCTGTATATTAAAACTGATGACTGTAACTTCAAAAAGCGTTTGGGGCATCAAGATGCAGACATTAATGATGATAGGATCTTTCCCGTATGTCGGAATGTCCGCTTGTCAGATTACGTTAGACTGTAATTTACAAAATCAGCTAACCAACAATGAGGAAAAGTCCTTAAAAAAAAACTTTCTCCACTTCAAAGTGCAAAAAATAGAAGTGCAGAAGAAAGCCTAACATTATTTGATACTTCGGCACGCAAATGAGCCAAAAAAAAACAAACAGGGACAAGCACAAATTGTCTCATGCTGTACTGTGCACAGATGATGGAAAGAACTCTGAAAAAAAAGAAGCACAAAACTATACTGTAGCCTCTTTCAGATTATGAATAATACGGTATGTTAAATTTATTCACTATTTTTTGTGAAAATAAGAAGCTCAATTTGTTCAATAGATGTCAACATTTTGGGAACTAAAATGTTTCCATTTGTCTGAACTTGTTAGTAAAGGGCATTAAAAAAAAATTCAAATGGGCTTCATCAGGAATCTTCAAAAAGTGTGTTGGACCTGAGAAATAAATTTTCTGCAAATGTAGTATTGTTGAAGAGAGGTAAAGATAAAGATACAGTATATATATATTCAGTATGAATATTTACCTGCAACTTTGATTTCCACGCTTATTTCCCATTATTTCCCATCGTCGTCATGACCATCATCAAGTCCCAGAACTTCTGAATTCGCCCACAATCTTCATTAACCGGTTCACGCGTGCACCTTCCGTATTCCATTACCATGACCCGAAGACAATCGAGGAATTTAAACCAGCTCTCTCTCTGAAAAAAAAGCAAGCAAACTTGCATTTTAGTTGCGAATGAATCAACATCTCTTAGCGTGTGTAAGTGCTGTCCATATAACGATACTGCATGATTTCCAGATCCGTCTTCATCCAATATCACTGTTGGCACTTCCGACATGCCTGCGTCGAGCATCTTTCACAGCAGAAAGTACTGTTCGTACCTTGTTCTACTGTACTGTACTATATTTATCTTTCTCTAGAATAATTAAAAAAAAAAGGGGGGTAAGGTAGCGAAGAACGTCTACTACCGCAAAAGGAGGTTGTTGACTGCGGAAAGGCGCCAGTGATGATTCAGTACCTCGTCTCATGCATGTTGCATGAACTATGCCATGATTCACTGGGAATTTTTATTATTTTTATTTTATTTTTTAGGATCATGCTCCGACTAAGAAGGCTTCTTCTGCTGCGAAGGATGGCAAAAGTGCGACTCGCAGAACCGGGACAAGGTCCACAAGCCGAAGCAAGTCTTTCACCAGGGAAGAGGAGCCGCCGAAAGAACTCGCCAAGAAGGGTAATTTGCCGTATTCTTCTCAATTTTTTATTTTTATTTTTTGCAAATTGAAAAATCTGTGAATTATTCGGATTGTCCGTTTGAAAATTTCTTGCTGATACATCGCGAAGAAGGAAAGGCGAAAAATTTTTTTTGGCCGTTTATATCAGCGGAATTGAAAGAGGACCCGTTTTTTTCATGCGTTGAAATCCTAAATTGTTGTCACTGCAGTTCCAGTTTTTTTTTTGCTATTCGAAATAATCACCAACGATGATGCATTTAATTTAGGTTGATTCTTGAAGTAATTTTTGGTTATCGGAAGTTTGTTCGCGAACGCTTAAAATCAATGCCAAATGTAAAAAGTGAAAAAAAAATTTGCAACGGGTTTTCCCTGAAATAATTCCTCAAGATTGGATTCATAGTTTGATGCATTTTACGTGATAGAAATCGCTTTGTGTTTAATCAATGCTGGTACTGTATATGTAAAACCACTGTAATTTTTGTAGAAAACATTTCTTATCTCAGCCAATGCATCCACGAGTTGCACGCAACATTTCATAGGTTACACTTGGCTTCTTAATAAAAAAAAAAGGTACGTCAAACCTCGTCGCTACATAATCTATTTTCCAATTTTTAAACGCTTCATTTGAAAATTTTACTCAACTATCGTTTTCCCATGTTGTTCATTTTATCTTTGCAAAATTGATTATAAATTTAAGAAACCAGGAATGCAGTGGTGATAGTATGTGTTTTATTTTATTTTTTCTGAGACCCTTTTCAGCAAGAGTGACCCCAGATTGATCCATATACTTGTATATTCAGGGGAACTTGAATCAATACCTCGCAAATATTTCTCCTCTGATAACCCCTTCAGATAAACCCCGACGAATGACCTTCGTGTTCACATCTGCTGCTGTGAAACCCACGGAAAATATGTGTATACTCGTATGGATATGGGGAAAATATTCCTATATCGCTAAAAAAAAAAAAGAAGAAAACAATCGCAGACCGGAAATAGCAGGTTTATAGGTTTCCAACTGGAGTAGGATGTATGACTTGAATGCGAATGGAAACCTATTTATTTCGTCGAAATGATCTCGTTTATCGCTTTTTGGAAAAGGCAATTTGGTGTTACGCATTATTTTGGAGCATGAAATGGTTTTTTTCCTAATAATGGAATAGGTTGTCGATTGTCATTTTTTTTGCTAAAAACTCGATCTTTAATTTTTGCTAGAATCCGCATGTATGAGCCTCTGTAAGTTGCAGTCCTTTTTCATGCCACGTACGTGTACCCAAATTGAATAGTCTTGGAACTCTTGTATTCAAATTATTTTCAACATATGTCCTACTTCACAGTAAGGCCTGTGCCTGTCAAAGCAAAAAAATATTATCAAAATTCTGATTTAAAAAAAAAATCGATTTAGAAATTTGAACTATAGGGATTGGTCTTTGCAACTTCATATTTGAAAGTTTACCAGATGACACAAGCACAGTATTTGCTTGCAGTTCTCCATCTTGTCAAACTTTCAGCTCACTTTTCAATATTGCTCAGAAAAATTGGGTTACAATGGCAAGTTTTCACTTTATCATGCAGCGTATGGGAAATATGGCAAAAAAAATCTGAAAAATTACTGGATTCCAAGAACAATTACGACAAGAAATATTGGAATTTCTTTCACAATTTTACCAATGTAATATCTCAGCCTTCTATTTTGTACCAGTCTTGCATAGTGCCACAAATTTCCCTTGAACAAAATACCGTATTTACTTGAGTACCATGCGCAGCTTTTTTCACAAATTTCAGAAGAAAAGGGGTGTGCGTCATAAGCAGCTACAAAATGTTCAAGAAGTTTTAGGAAGTTATATGTGCATTATACTCAATTATAATGAAGGAATTTTGAACAAGAAAACATTTTGTACTGAAAAAGTTGAAAATTGATCAGATTTTTGTAGAAAACATTTCTTATCTCAGCCAATGCATCCACGAGTTGCACGCAACATTTCATAGGTTACACTTGGCTTCTTAATAATATGGTTTTAGATTCACTAAAAATTGGGGTGTGTGTCTTACTTGGGGATAAGATTTTTGAAAATTTTTCAACTGAAAAACCCCTTTGCGCGCCTTACTTGAGGGCGCGTGGTACTTGAGTAAATACAGTATTCATAAATTTTGTCCCTGAGGGAAACCCCAATTTTGTGCCAACTCAATCGGTATGACAAAGATTCCTTGTCAAGGATGGAAAATGGCCGAAAATTAAAGAACCCAAGGCCATTTTCTTATATAAAAAATCAGTGTAATTTTGAAAATGCTATTTCTGAAATTGCAAATTGTGCTGCTTCGTGGCGCTTTCCTGTATTGCAAAATTTACAAATGGAGAGTATCAAGATGAAGCTTTCCTGGAAATATTGTTTGTTCCTGTGTGAAGGTACCCTTCAGCAAAACGGCTCTGCTCTTTCACTGAACACAGCAATTATGAGAATCTAAACTATTCTGTCTTCAAATATGTGGAATTGCAGTATTAAAAAAAAACAGTCTCAATGGCCTAATAATTTTGTAAGCAAGGTTATTTTGCCTATAGCTAGTAACAGACCCTCGAGTGAACCTTCATCTCATGCAATACAGTACTTTTAATTGTAGTTCCACCTTCACTCATTTGTCACATAATGTACCAAAATGATGTGACCCCAATTCAAGGTTTGACTGTATTCAGCTCACGCAGAACTGGGACAGCAGTTACCCTCGTGATGTACCACTCTTTTTCTTTTGTGTGTGTGTGTATGTGTGAACTGATTCCGATGATTTTTTCCCCTTTCGTTTTGTTCAATTTCTTGCCTATATATAGTGCCCATGAACAAAGTGGAAGTCGGGAAAGGCCCTAGTCCGAACCTGAAGAGCGTCAAGTCCAAGATCGGGTCCATGGAGAACACGCACTACAAGCCCGGAGGCGGCAACGTTCGCATTGAGCACAAGAAAGTGGAAATTGGCGAGGTCAAGCCCAAGGTCGGCGCCAAGAATGAAGCCTATCAGCCCAGTGCTGGTGGTCAGAAAAAGGTGAATTCATGTCTCTCTTTATGTGGCAAGTATACGGTAGTACAGTATGATGAGTGGCTGGAATAACGTTGTCAGGCCCAACCTCGTCAGCCTGGAATAATCTCGTCTCGTCGCGGAATATCGTTGACAGGAATAACCTCGCCTTTATGTATTATACCCGAGATGTTGGGACTTGAGGATATATTTTTTTTTTTTTGCTGTATACGAGGTTGGTCCAGTTGTGAAGTGCGGGAAGATTTTTTTTTTTTTTTACGAGTTTGTTCCAGGATAGGCTTGACGACAGTAATCCAGTGTTGGAATGACGACATTATTTTCACAATCCCAGTATAATGTGCAAGGCATGGTTCATAGAAGTGTTGAACATTTTTGAAATAGATCCAACAGAGCTTCAACAAATCAAAATATTTTTTTCACTCGCATACCCCCATCATTTGGCAACATGATGCATTTTTTGTTATCGAATTTCGTACAAAAAATATTTCGTTTCGATTTTTTGTTGTTGAAAAAATCATTAAAAAAAATCACTGCACCCTGTGAATTCTGGTTATTCCGGACGGCAAAGACCTGATTTGAAAGGGGTCGATTTTGGGGTCAGTGACAGCCTCATTTGCGTCGGCAAAGAGCAGCTTGTTCAACTAACACAATCATAAATTTTTTGCAATTTTTATAATGATTGGATTCATCACAAGAAAAAATGCATCAAACGATGAGCCATTGCGAGTAAAAAAAAAAGTTGGATTTCTTGAAACTCTGTTGGATCAATTTTAAAAAATTCAAAACTTATGAACCAACCCTCGTTTTTACGCAAAATTTCATTGCAAAGAAAGTCCAGAGACCTGATGAAAAATTGCTTGTATCGCGATTCATGGTTTTTAACAAATTTTAGACTGGATTTTTATTTTGGGGGAAATGGGTATAATAAATACTGCAGGTAAAATAAATGCTTCGCTTACAGTTGATTCAAGGCCTTAAAATTTTCCAATTCTATCCACTGAAATAAAGAGGACAATTTTTGGATATCAATACAGGTGGACTCTCTATACAATAAAATTCAAGGGACCAGAAATAAATACTGTTGCGGAGAGAATTTCATTGTAGAAAACCGCCATCATGTCAGGAGAGGACCTTATGGGACCACAAAAAAAGAAGAATTTGCTGTACAGAGAAAGTCATTGTAGAGAGAGTCTACTTGTATTATTTTTCCTTTTATTGAACCCGCCTTTTTTTCTGCTAAAGCACCGCATGTCCTGAAAAATAAAATGAAACAGAGATGTATAACATGTGGGAGAAATGCTTCCTCGTGCATCAACTTATTAATTCATGCCTGTTCTTTGAAGTGGAGGAACATTCTTTCCAAAATACTGTACAGTGCTGTACAGTAATACTGGTTAATTCAAAGAAATTCAAAAAGTCTCAAATGGAACTAAAGAATTTCTACAGAATATGTCATGTTTTGTATACTTTTAAACACTGTTCTCAGCCGAAAGTTTTTTTTTTTTGACAAAGTCGGAATTCTGCAACAATGTACTTTTCCCCATTTTTCTGTCATTTATCAAAGGTACTGTAAATCTGTAATCCCTATGGCCTATTTACAGAAACAGGGTTGAAAATTCGTTATGATTGACGTAACTAGCCTTAATGAGTTTGTTAGTACGAGATTATTATGAATGAATGAATGAATGAATGAATGAACAGAGCACTTTATTTGCCGCTTTTCAGCATTCACAAGGTTCAATCAAGATTTATATAATGCCAACAGTTTATCTTGATCCTTTAAGATTTCAGAAAGGGTCTCTTCATTGGATTCCAATACTTGTAAATCTTTCTTAAATTATTATTTTGACATTATTATGATTATTATGACACGGTGCCAATGAAAAACTGCTGGGACCAAGAACAAAATTCATTCTATCGTAAAATTCGTTGTAGCGAGATTTTACCGTATATGTACAATAAATTAGTCTGTCACTTCACCAGCAAAGAAACAGCTCTCCATTCATCATCTACCTCGCGTGTGTGAGATGCAGATCAGAAACTTCTCGGAGTGTAATTTGAAATGATTGAGTGGGAAAGAAGGAGCTTTTATTATAGTGCTTATTTAATCCAGGGAATCGTGGGTCATTTCATGAACAGCTCAACTGCCGTAATATCGATAACTCCGAGCATGGAAAATGATTGAAACGACGAGACTTCATCTGTCATTGATCATCATGTTGATTATTATTTGAAAACACGTTTTGCTGAGGTTATGTTATGAACTTATGATGAGAGAAGAAATTCCCGCTTGAAAAATGTGCCTTATCGTGAAAGATTGAATTCGAAGAGTACAATAAAATTGACGAATAACGCTTTTCAAAATTTTACGATAGAATTAATTTTGTTCTTGGTCCCAGCAGTTTTTCCATAGGCGCCATGTCGTAATAATCTCGCACTAACAAATTCATTAAGGCTAGTTACGTCAATTATAACGAATTTTCGACCCTATTTCTGCAAGAAGGCTATACAGATTACAGATTTACAGTAAATTTGATAAATGCCACAAAAATGAGAAAATTGAATTGGTGCAGCATTCCAACTTCGTCACAAAAAGAAAACTTTCGGCTGAGAACAGTGTTTGAAAATATTCGAAACATGACATACTCTGTAGAAATTCCTTAGTTCCATTTGAGATTTTTTGACTTTCTTTGAATTAAACAGTATTACTGTGCAGTATTTTGGAAATAATTCCTCCACTTCAAAGAACAGGTATGGATTAATAAGTTGATGCAGGAGGAAGCATTTCTCCCGCATGTAAAAAGGTACGACGCTCTTTTTTCTCGCAGAGGCATTTTATTCCCAGTGGCCTTTTTTCCCCTCTCATATTCACATGGTATATCCACCCTGACATTTGCTTTTGACCTCTGACATATTCTTTCCTGATTCTCTTGGTGAATTTTGGATATCCCTGTCTGTGATCGATACTGTGATCAGCCATAAACCCATAATATATATTATGTATTTATAAATATATATATATATATATTTTTATATATACATAGGAGCAAAAAATATAAACTCAAATATTCCTTGTTAAAATAGTTTAAAGGGTATGAATCAAGCTTAAGTAATGCCACATTTTAAATGTGAATAGGACTCAAATATCAATACCAATAAAAAAAATGTATATGTATATATATACGAGGGTTCAAACAAAAGTTCTTGGAGTAGCAATGAAAATGGAATCCAATTGAACTGAAAAAAATTTATTCTTCAGGGAAAACATATTCTTTGGCACACAAAAAAAATCAGCCCAGTTTGAAAATTTTTTAAAAATCTTTTGCAAAATTCATCCTGATAGAGTTTTGCTCTCCACTCAAAAGGAGAGGCGCCCTTTTTTTATTGTAGCACAGCTTTCCCCTTGGAATTCTCAAAATCCACGTTATATATATATATATATATATATATATGTGTGTGTGTGTGTGTGTGTGTGTGTGTGTATGTTATTCTCTGGCGCGTAAAATCTTTATAAATTTATTTCTTTTCAAATGCATTATATTCTCATGACGATGAAAAAAATTTGTTCAAGAAGTTGTTCAAGCCACCACCAAAGCAAGAAGTAGAGCAACCTCCTACACCAGCACCGCCGGCGACTGCTACTGAAAAGAAACCCGTGAAGAAAGTGAGACTTCTGATCGATTCCTGCTCGTGTTGACGTGTTTCGTCGCACTGTGTTGGCTTTTTTTTTCCTCTTCCCTGCGAATAATACTTTGCGTGCCATTTTTCACCTCTGCGTCATGAAAAAAAAAGAATATGTATGCGTAAAAAAAGAATTGTGAATGAAAATGCCGTCACGAACGGAGCACCAGTTATGTTTCACTCCGAAGACACGAAATGCGATGGATATCCGCGTTTTTCACATGCTTTCTTCAAGTTTTTTTTTTAATTTTATTTTCAAATGCTGCTGTGCTGTTGAGTTTGCATCAGAAATGTCGATTGATGTCGGAAGGAAAATTTCCCTCTTGCTTGTTCCGAGAGGATTTTCTCCTTGCTGAAATGCTTTTCTTTGAAATTCTAATTGAAATTGTGCAAATTCCGTTGAATTGTTGAAGTTTGAATTCTTTGTTTTTTTACTCTTAGCAGTTTGTGACGACCCAGAAGCTGAACTGGTCGGCCAAGTCGAAGATTGGCAGTCTAGAAAATGCGAAATACAAGCCAAAGGGCGGCGACAAGAAGATTGAGACAGTCAAGCTGAATTTCAAGGACAAGGCGCAAAGCAAAGTGGCGTCCACGGTCAATATCAAGCACAAGCCCGGAGGCGGTGAAGTCAAGGTAAAAATAATGCAGGCTTATTTTTTTTTCTTGAACACTATTTTTTTTGAAGACAGGTCTGTGATGAATTATTTTCTTTGTATTATAAATATTAAATTATTAATTAAATACTGTCTTGGTTCAACTTTTAAAATATTTTTCTCTCTGCTGGTTCAACTCTGTCTACTTTTAATCCATGATATTTTGTATTATATTTTTCATTTCAAATGGGAAAACTAATCTTGTCGAGATCTTGGAGTTGCTTACTCAGAAAAAGTTGAAGGAATTTGCCAAAAAAAGTTTGTTGAGAAAATGTGAACTTTTTTATTCGACATCTCGATTTACATGTCTCAACCTTTCGAGAAGCTGCAAGACGTCACGTTTTTGTGGCTCTTGACATTTTGTAAGTTTTCTTATCAATTTAGCAGCATCTCTTCTTTCAATTCAGGAACCTTTATTTATTTATTTTGTTCAAAACGGGCCTGTCTTCGAAGAAAAATTCCGAGCTATGCAAATTTCCAGTGAGATCCACTAAACAGCAGCATTATTTGCAGTACTTAGAACATGATCACAATATTTCAAAGTCTTCAGTTTTTAAAGATAAAGGAAAAGATGTCAGTTTCTGAATGTCTTCCGCTCCGCAGACTTCCGAAAAAACCCCAGAAAAACCGACGGAAGACGAAAAAATTGCCGAGGAAGTGAGTTTAAAAATATTGGAGCCGCAAATGTAAATTGCGAAAATAGTTGCAATTTATTCTGGGTAAACACGCTTTTTTTGGCAGCGGTTTCACCACCAATTTATTTCTTCATATAAACGCACTGCTTCAGTAGATGTCGGAAATTTGTGAATAACTGTTGATTTCACTTATCGATCCTGCAAAAAAGCTTTTGTGTAGGCGTAAATGCTCGCCATTGGAAATTTATTTTTGCCTTTTTGCCCCGAGCTTCGCTGTACACTCAATCTAAAAATTTGTATTTTTTTTCGGATTTCGCGGAAGAATTATGAAGAGTTTAGGATTTATCTTGAAAGCTGCTGTGTAGTTGTCAAGTGACGTGATGTGGTTGTAATTACTTTGACTGTTCGTGGTGAAGTCCGAAATGTTGACAATATTTTCGTACTCTATTTTGAGACTGATGCGAGACAAGAAATTTTCAATAAGAGAGGCTAACCGTTCTCGTGAAAAATTTCGAAAAAGTTTGGCAGGTTTTTCTGCCCGAAGTTCCCTCTTGAATTAAAATGTATCCTCTCTAAATTTAAAAAACCCCCTTTTTTTAATATTTTAAGGATAGGAGCTTTGATATTGAAATACAATTTTCTTCCCATGTTTCTGAGCAAGTCTACGAAAAACTTGTATTCTTGCATTAAAATTGTCATAAATGTCAAAATTTTTCGTGGATGACCGCCTTTACTGTTATATAATGTGTTATCGATTATGCGACGCATCTCTTATTTTATTTGCCTTAAACATTGAAAAAATTTAGCTCTTGGATACCAGACGATATATGATTCTTGTTTTACATTTTTAAAGAATTCGAGGAGTATTTCAGTGACCAGCTTTTATTTTCCTCGAAAGATACCTTCGTTTATTAAACGCGAGAAAATTCCTTAATATTTGTTTTTTTTTAATTCAACTGTAAATTGTTACGCTTTCAATCGACGAAAACATTTGGGCCAAAAGCAATTATGCTTTTCTAGATGTGTATGCCTTCGTATATTCATTATAGAAATGCTGATTTTCTCCAGGCAATTTTTGGTGGAACGAGGACTTTTTCTGCACCTTTTAAAATGTTTTCAAATTTGAAAGTTGTGAATATTATTATAATTCTCTGGCTCTCGCGCTGCTCCCAAGAAATGTACAGTACTATATTTATGATTATTGTTCAAAACTTCTGGACTTCCCGGCGTAACTTGTTCTGATGGTGTAACACTTTGATGGAAATTTTTGTTCCCATATACTATATAAAACTCCCCAAAACTGTCCTGACTCAATTTCCTCATCTTGATTTTTTTTTCTTTCACTCCTTTTTTTTCCCTCCGTGCTCGTGTCTCTCTTGGGGGTTACCCACTTCGCGTCGTCGTCGTCGTCGTCATGGTCGTCGATATCCTTTCGGAACGGAAACACACACACCACACACACTCGTGCAATGAAAATGTAATTGAATTTTCGGCGGAAAATTGTGCACGGTGGGGTGTGGGTGTGGGTGGGTGGGGAGTTTAGATTGAGAACAGGAAGTTGGACTTTAAGGCAGAGAGTAAAATCGGGTCGTTGGGTAACGTGAAGCACCGCCCGGGCGGCGGGGACAAGGCCATTTTCGACGACCGCGAGTACCTGCGCCAGAGGAGCGCGAGTCGGGACGGGAACGTGGGGTCCAGTGTTACCAGCTCTGTGGGAGGATCGAGACGGTCCCTGCTCCAGGTGAGGAGCTGTATGTGTAGTAAATATAGCTGGTGGGGCACACCGATACCCTGATGATGATGATGATGATGATGGCAGCCTGATGATTTCCAGAAGCATCCTTTCCTTTTTTGTTTCGTTTTTTTTTAAAAATACAATATTTGTTTAATTTTGATTTTTTGTTTGCAACTCGTATCCCATCTCCCTTTTTGTCTGTATACAGCAGCAGTGCTGGTGCCTTGGTTAATGGGCTTGAAGTAAAAAAAAAAAAAAAAGGAAAAACCTTCATTTCGTTTTTGGAATTTGAGAGAATGTGAGGAAGTGAGAGAATGATTTGGGCCAATGAACTCCTGCCTCCAAGTTCAGCATCCTGTCAATTCATTCAGGAAGCAACGTAAGGTCCAGAATATCATCACGCAGTACAAGTTCCTGGAATTCTTAATTTTTTTCCCAGCAACATAGGGGTAAATTATTCCATCCCTAACTGGAATTCGATTGTTGATTTATTGAATTTCACCTTGGAGCGGTTTGACTGTATTTTAAAAAAAAATAGCTGAAGAATAATTTCAATATTTTTCTGCACTTGAAACCCGCGTAACTTTTTTCATGTTTTAATTGTATCCCATTTGCGGACATTTCAAATATATACGACGTGTCCATTTTCCAGGTTACCACTGTATCTTGTTTTCCCGCTCGAACCATAATTTTTTTTTTTACAACCCCTGACCTTTTGAAAAGGTTTTTCTTTTGGCGTCGATGATTGCATTCCGGATGATGCATAGAATGATTATGTTCGTGACCGGAAAAAGATGAGCGACTCCCAAAAACAGCACATTTTGGAAAAGTGTGTGTAAAAAAACATTAATCCGTTGAAAAACGGAACTTGAACAGAATATTTTTCGGTAAAAAGGTTCATTTTTTTCGTGCTAATTATCTTGAAATGCAATTATTGATGGTGAAAGCACCGCACCTTAAAAATTACTGTAAGGAATCTCGAAAGTTTGTTCCGGCAAGAATTTTACGGTATATCAATACTTCTACGTAGTTTCTTCTGGAATTTTTTTTTACTTAGTTTACTCAAGGAGAAGAATTTGTTTTAATAAAATTTCTTATGACGTAATTTCGCCTGCATGGCTTGGATATGATCAAATATGAAAATCAAGCACATCTGCATTGACTTATATTCCAACGAGAGAGAAGAGCCAAAATTGCGTATCGATTGAACAAAAACTGAACTTTTGGAATTACGAGTGCAGTAAAATGTGCAATTATCCAAGTAGATCACTAAGTATGAATACAGTACTGTATACTGTACTTCTGAACAAGGTATCTTTGGAAATAGAAAAGCTGGAAGAAATGTACTTTGAAGCTCTTTTCTTCCACTAGAAGTTGGTTTGATGTTGATCTTGACTTTCATTTTTGTGCTGATTTTCATGTGCACTTTAAAAATAAACAATGAATAAACGAACAGAACACTTTATTTGCCGCTTTTGAGCATTCACAAGGTTCAATCAAGATTTCCACAACCACCACGTCACTTGACAACTACACAGCAGCTTTCAAGATAAATCCTAAACTCTTCATAATTCTTCCGCGAAATCCGAAAAAAAATACAAATTTTTAGATTGAGTGTACAGCGAAGCTCGGGGAGTCTTCGCTTGTTTCTGTATGAGGTTTAGTTGAATGAACAAATTAGAGAGAATCTTTGATGAGAAATCATATAATGCCAACAGTTTATCTTGATCCTTTAAGATTTCAGAAAGGGCCTCTTCATTGAATTCCAATACTTGTAAATCTAAATTAATTAAATAAACAATGAAATGTGCTGATTTTGGAACGCGCTCAACTGCCCTGTCACCTGTATTGTTATAATCAGCAGTGATGACCAGCATTTGTCTTAGGATTTAGAAAAATTTTTGCGAGATTTAAATACTGAAACAATAGTGTTTGCAGAAAATGAGAAAGGGTTTCACATGGTGAGACTATATTTATTTGTATACTGTTCAGTTTTACATATTGTTACTCATTGGATGTGCTAATTTTTGTGCATGTAACTGTAGCATGCGAAATTTGGATATTCATCCCAGTCTTGAAAATGAAAGCAATTGCCGCCTGGAATCTTTATTAGACCATTTTTAAATCGACGAATTAATTTCGTTATATTATTCCTGTTCACTTGAATCAAATTCATAATTAATTTTTAAAAATCTTGGACTCGTTTCAAAAAAGTTTGCTGTATGTATTTAATTTTCCGGGAAATTTCGAGCATAATCGCGACGAAAACTGCGCGTATAACTCAAAATGAACATTTGCGTCATTCAAAACTGCGCCGATTTGAGGAAGTACGGTATTTTTTTATGTCGGGATTTTCGTGGATAAATTCCGTGAGAAAGTATTTTTGTCTGCCTTTGTCGCATTGGAATATCAGTGTTTTGCAAAATAATCGCGTTCTGCATGACTGATGGAGTAGTTCCGGAACCGCAGAATTATTTCAATCAGCGATCCATCTGTCAAACTGAACACATTTTGGCATAACATTTGAGAAAGTCTGTCGTTGTGTTTTTAAAATTTGAGTATGATGAGGAATTTGTTGTGTTTGAATGTAGTGATTTTATCTTGTGTTTCTTCTGAAAATTGCAAAATCAAATTTCTTCGGGTGATCGTCGGTTGTTGAAAAATTCTGCTGGGATGGTATGAAATTGAGCAAGCTCATGTTTGTTTGATTTGATGTAGGTGTCACCCCAAACCCTTTTAGAGACTCGACGTTTTATTCATCTTATTGCTCGTAGAGGAATGGATCCTGCTTATTTGTGTAGATAGTTTCATTGATGCTGCTGCATTTTTTTTTTTTCGCGAAAAGAATGGAATATTTTCATTGATTGGACTTTTTAATGATTTTTCAGACCCCAGAACCGCTGCAGACGAATGGCAACACTGCTGACCATGTATGAAGATCAAGTGGAAGAACAAAGATTGCTTCTGTGCCAGCCTTATTTGCAAATAATTAGGTCAACAAACCGTCAATAACGGTTTCCGGTTTCACGTTGTCCTTTTTTTTGTTCTTTTTTTTGGTTTTGATCACATTGATGAATCACGTAGAATCAAAGAAGAAAAAAACCCAGTGACTCAGATTGGAACTGAAGGAATATAATTGCAATTTTTGATGCACCGAAATCTGATTAGGCTAAGCGAAAAGCCCTTTTTTTCTTCACTATATTGAGGATGATGATTAATTTCTCGGGATATTGATTTGGAGTGTTCATGCGTTGAGTTCTCATCGTATGCGAGCGATTGCATTTTCTTTTTTTTTTTGCTTGGCTTTTTTTTAATGCTAGTATAGATCATATTGATTTCGTCCGCTGATTCCCGAGTCTTGAGTTAATTTCCAAGAAGGGAGTTTTTTTTTTTTTTAGAATTTACTCGTCGGAGGCTGGAAGAAATAAGCTTGAGCTCAGTTCGAACAGTTTTCTTCCGCTGCTTCGAACTCGGAATCCTTCCAAAGCTGATGACGATGTTCCACTTCTATATTGTGATTTTCATTTTATTTTTCAGAAAAATCCACTCTGCTTTTGAAGTAGATGAGGGCTAAATCAAAAGATCACGAAAAAGTAAGAAACCGTTCGGTTTTTTTTTTTTTAATGCAGAACAACTTTTTGCTTGGTCCCCACCTTTTTTTTGTGTGAGGAATATGTTTCTGCTTCGGCTGATGCTTCATTAGACGATATGGAATGTGGGAATTGAGCTGTTATTTTTGTAAGCTGAGGGCAGTGATTTTTTCGGCGTTCTGTGACACAGGCTTTTCTCACTCTCGAAATCCGCCAGTATTCGAAGAAATTTTTTCCTCTCCTGTTTGTTTTTTTTTTCGACCGATTTCAAACGCAATTTATGGGAGCATCCAGCGAGTTTCCGTCGAGAAACGAAGGTCAAAATTCGCATTGTCATTTATTCAGGCGTTTCGTTCTGCGAAATTTCGTTGAAAAAAAACAGAAAATGCGAAGTGTAATCAGCGATTTCGAAAAATCGGTGCTGCGAGATGGTAAACTTCCTGGCTGCTCCGTTTGTTTTCTATACTGCGTGAAAGGATATATTCTCTTGCTTCACATTCCCGTTTTTTGGCGCAATGGAATGAGCGAGTGCTTTTGAGCTATTTAGCAGCTGATGTTGAGCGGATATGGTGCAAGAAGAGGACTTTTTTGGTTTGTTTTTTTTGAATGACTGTGGCGAGCAAATGCTGGAGGTTAAGAAAAAGTTTGCACTCGTTGCGTGTGTATAAGGATCGGAGAGAGGATTTTATCCGTTGCGAACAGTGTCGTGCTTCTCTGTATACATGTGCAGTTGAGAGAACCACCTTCTGTGCAAAAAGCAACTGTGAAGTAAAAGTTTTATTGGGAAACCGTGGAATGGCATTCATTTACTAAAAGAAAAAAATTCTATACTGTACAGTATTCTGTGCATTTACGTATGATGCCTGGAAAAAAAAAAGGATTACCGTTTTACCATTTCAGCGATTTTTCGATCATCGGAATCTCGCAGTTCGATGCCAAATAAAATTATTGGCATCATAAGCAGTGCTGAGTTATCACATGAGAGGGGAGAATTTTTAATTATAGATGGAATTGCGATGTTCCTTAATTCAACACTATTAAACTCACGCAAAGGAATCTGAGGGCTCATACTTTAAAAATCTTTCAAATTTTTTTGGTCATCCAGAAAATTCTGGCAAATTTTTAGATATTTGCGTTAAAGAACCACCTTCTGTGCTAAAAGCAACTGTGAAGTAAAAGTTATATTGGGAAACCGTGGAATGGCATTTATTTAGCAAAAAAAAACTCTATAATCTCCTGTATTCTATGTATGTCTACACAAAAAAAAAGGAATTCCGTTTTGCCATTTTAGCGATTTGTCGATCATCGGAATCTCGCAGTTTGATGCCAACTGAAATTATTGGCATTCAAAGCAGTGCTGAGTTATCACATGAGAGGGGATAATTTTAATTACAGATGAAGTTGCGATGTTCTTTCATCCAACACAATTAAATTTATGCATAGGAATCTTAGGGCTCACCTTTTAAAAATCTTTCGAATTTTGTTGGTCATCCAGAAAATTCTGGAGAATTCTCAGGTACTGTAGTTGCGTTAAAAAACCACCTTCTGTGCAAAAAGCAACTGTGAAGTAAATAACGTTTTATTGGGTACGCTTGGAATGACATTCATAAAAAAAATATATAGAGTGTATTCCGTGTATATGTCTGTAAAAAAAAATTCAATTTTGCTGTTGAATAGTGATGCATCAATTATCGGAATCTCCCCGTTCGATGCAAAAACTGACATTTTCCGCATGGAAAATAAATGCAATTCTGAAATGTCGAATGAGAGGGGAGTTCGTCTTAGAATTCTTAGATGAACAGGCGATGTTACTCCAACAATATTAAATTCATGTATAGAAGAAATCTGAGGGATTATTTTTTTATAGATCTGTCAGTGATCAATAATTTGCGATGAATTCTGAATGAACCAGATAGAATCTCTCCGAAGAACGATCCTCATATTGACACTTGAGTAACTTCGAAAGATTTTTGAGTCACATAGAAATTAAGAGAAATATTTAGAGAAGTTCCGCGAAAGGATTTAAAAAATATATATATATATATCCTGAACCTAAAAATATTTCACAAGCTCGAGAAAGTACATGCGCTTTATATTTCGTCAAACCCTGAAATATTGCATAACATCTGCTCATGACGAAAATAAAAAAAAGCGCTGCTTGGGTGGAATTGCGGGCTGAGATTGCGCCGATTGCTGATTTATTTCGTGTTATTATCACGAATGATTCTTCTTCACCAAATACTGATTGCACCCAGATCCACGAAGTTGACTTCATTCTCAGCCGAATCAAAAAACGGAGTCGTTGCTGTGCTCGTCGACGGCGTCTGTAAAAATGATTAATAAATTATTGAAATACGGTACAGTAATTTAATCAGATTCATTTCATCCTCCAATTTAGTTTTTCTTCATTCTACGTTTAAACCCTCTTCCCACGCGTCATTCTCGAAGCCGTCATTTTCTCCGCGTTACAACTAGATGTCGCGCGAATCTTTTCCATGATTTCCTCAGTACGTGCTTATTGAGAGTCTTCTTGCGTCACTGATTAAATAATGTATGCGCAATAATAATTTCAATTAGTTCAGGCATTATTAGCATTAATCTGTATTTTTTCCGAGGGTGTGATTAGATTTCTTGGATAATTAAATGCAAAGAGAAATTTCAATCTAACATTTCAAAGAAAATTAAGAAGACCCCGGAATAATGATATACAATTTTTTCGTATTTTGAATATTCTAGTCCGAATACTAATCAGTAAACTAATAAGCGAAAGAAGGACTTAAAATATTGGAAGATATTCTCTTCTCTGTGATATCGTAAGGTTTAATTACATTTCCTCTAATCTTCATTATATGCATCAAAATTCTGATAACCGGAATAAAACCGATTTTCTAAATTGCTTCATCAAATTCCCTCATTTGCTCAGCTTTATTTCTTAATACAGATGAGTGACGTAACATACAATCTATTTTATCGGATTCTAAAAATAAAAAAGCGTAGCATGAAATGAAGGTTAAAGCATCACTACATTGAGAGACTGAACTTCTTCGAAGTCATTTCATCACCCACTTGTTTTCCCGCAGCAGCATCGAGTTCGACATCGTCGCTGTCGTTCCTGGCGGTGACGGTGTTCGCCGTGGTCTCATCGGTGTCACTGTCGGAGAACTCGTTGAAATCGCTCTGCACTGTGGTCTTTGGAATGAGCTCGACATCCCTCGACGAAGTCTGTCATACGCAGTTTAATCCGTCAACACAACGACAAATAAACGCGTGATGAAATTCGCCGCTTTTTTCAATTATCGCGACCGACCAACGATGAAATTCCAATTTCCTGCCTCACAAACTCACCACGAAAGTTTTGATCTGACTGAAGGAAGGATAACATAAATACTTTTTTTTTCTAATTTTTTTTCCTTCAGTATTCTTGCTCTCGTTTGTACAGAAAGTGGATTTGAAATCATGTGAGTTGAAGCAGACAGTGCTGCTCTAGTATGTGACTGACCGCCGAAACATGGACTGGCTCTTCTTGAAGAGTTGCAGTTGCTCTTGTTTGATAACTTATGCATATTTATTCAGATAATCCATCCGTTACATATATATATTGCTATGAGATCTGTTTATGCATAATTTACAAACCACACACAACTTAAAATTGAACCTCCAGCAATCACAGGAGCAGCAGACATTTTATTGTACAGTAAATCTTTTCAGGCTCCCAAGTGACTGAAGCTCCTGATTCTTTGGTAGTTCTTTGATTGAAAACTTCTCCTTAACCCTTGGGCAGCAAAATTCTACTATTTTGCAAGATTTTGTCACATCTCAGAGAGGTGAAGAAAAAAATTACAACAAGTGGGGGCTGAGGGGAAAAAGGGAGAAAATTCAAATGCTTGTTTCCCCTCAGCGCAGAAAAATTGTGTGGGAAAATAAAAACATTTCTCAGACAAGTGACAGGCTTTTCTAGATTAATCCCGAGTTCACCTCAGCCCACCTGGAAGGGTTTTCCTGACCTTTGAAAAACTGAAAATGTGGGAGGATACAAAAATAATCTGACTCTGTCCCAAAATGGGAAAGAACCCTTGCCATCCAAGGGTTACAACGTGTAGAACTCAGATTTCTTGCAGCCTTTGGATTAATATTTTGAGAAATAGAAGAGCAATAAAACCTACAGATGATTTTAAAAAGAAATTGCTGTACTAAAATGTTTGGAATATATGCGAGACCCTTGCTTGAAAGATCAGCATTATTTTGTCAATTCATTCATTTGACAGTTTGAGACCCAAGAGACTTTCCTGTAAAAGTTATAATCCTTTTCCTTGAAAAATGTTAGTTTCTTTAAACCAAAAATAGTTCCAATTTCAGAGAACCTTTTCTGAGTTTGCCTTGGGGGAATTTTGACTGTATACTACCAAAAAAAGCTCTCTTACAATTTTTTTTGGAGAATCCTACACAATGGCGCTCATTATAACATCTTTTGTTTTGCAGCACTGCTGAGAGAGGTTTTCTTGAAAAATTAAGTGCCTAGAAAAATTGGAAAATAAAAAGTTGTAGGCGATCAAAAGAGCCAAAGTCTGGGAGAAGCTCAATTGATTTCTTTTTGCACAGAAGATGTACTTCTTTTTTTTTCATTCTCACTGGATGCGGTGGGTGGGGCTTTTTTTTCTGCATTCCCATGCCTTTAGAATTCATACAACAGAATTTTAGAGATGATGGGATTTATTCCTTTCAGAGGATCTTGGACATGGGCTACTATATCGACAGAAGCTGTCTTTCAGTGGCCTTTGGTCAAATCAAAATGTCCGTGTGCAAAACACAGGGTTAAATAAATTTCGGGTCGGTCACGTACTGGTACAGCACTTCACGGCACCAGCATCCAAACTAATACCTGGAGAGTTGCAGGAACTCCAGACCAATTTCCCTGGTTTGTCATCTCTCCTTCTTTTTCTCACCTTATCAATGAAGGAAGGAACTTGTGGGAAGCCCCAAAAACTTACTGTGGTTTCGGTTGAATGATCCTGCGTGGGAGTGGATAATATTGACCTCGTCTGTTCGCTGTAGTCCTTCTCAGGGTCCGTTGGAAAAGTAGTGGTTGCTGTCGCTTCAGTGGTCGTCGTCGTCGACGACATGGAACGTAACCACTGACAGCTGCACTGTCCTAGTCACGACTACCAGTGACTGCTGCCAGAACGTCTGCTGACACAGTGCCTGCGACAGTTATATTACAGGCCATGTTGTTGTTTTTGTATTCTTTGTTTTAAAAATATTCAACGAAAGGTCGTGCCAAGGGCTCAAGGTTGAATAAGTCTGCGAAAACTACTTCTGTTCCAGCTAAAAATAAAATAAATCGAAAATGTTTGTGGAATTAATGACACAATTTTGGGTGAGGATCATTATTGAACGCGTAATGAGGGAGATTAATTTACGACGGTAAAATTTCTATATAAAGGGACCAAGCCAGTTTTTTGGAGCGCAAAATTGTTTCTTTTCGAAAATTTCAATAGTGTATCATCTTCTCGGAAATTGGACGTGCATTTCTTCCAGCTGTAGTTTTTATGGACAAATCAAAAATTTCCAGAGATAATAATGCATTAACACCGCAAAAGTAACAAATAGGGATATTCAATAAACAAATGAAATTTTCCAGAAGCCAAATCCAATTGTTGATTCAATTAATTCAAATAAAAAAAGGTTTTTTTATTTAAAGAAATGCATTCCCTCAGAAGTACATGCAGGGTCAAACCCAATTGCTGATTCCATTGATTAAAATAATAAACCTTATGCAACAGAAAATATTTCATCTAGAAGCAATGTGAAATTCAATTGATGATTCAACTTTTTTTCGGAAAGGAATTCATTTCCAAAATATGTTCTGTTCCATGCTTCCCTTATGGAGATTATTTGGAGAATAATTCGGATGCTTATATTCATTCCACCCAAAAACACAGTACAGTAGAACTAAAAAATTTTTTTGCAGAAATCTTAGACAAAAATAAATTTCTTTGTACTGAATATTCAAAATTCTTCGTCACAAGATTATTTTCAGCCTTATTTAAGCGCTAAATTCATGTCCTTCAGAGTAAGAGACTTATTTATTTATTTATTTACTTACTTATTTAGTTATTCATTTATTTCTTTTGAAGAAAATCTTCGATACAGCATCCTCTCATTTTTACGTGCAGGACTCATTACGGGGAAAACAATTAAAATTTGAATGCGTTTGAATTTTATTTTCATCTGGATGCTGCGTTTCCTCTTTCTTTTTTTTTCCACATCATTCTCACCAACAGTAGCAGCAGTAGTAGCATCAGTGGAAGAACCTGCGGTCTGTGACACCGACTCCGGCTCTCGATCGACACAGGTCCACAGTTGACACACGAGCCCCGGGACGCAGTGCCAGTCGCCGGCGCAGTTGGCGCCGGCGCCTTGTTGACCGCCACAAAGACTCCTGGGCCAGCAGGGGCGACACTCGCCCAGCCGCACGTCGCAAACTTCCAGTCTCGACGAGTCGCAGTCTGAGTTCTGCTGACACGTGCCAACGAATCCGACTTTAGCCAGTCTTGGAGACTGCCGATGACCTGACTGACCCAAGGTCGAGTAGACCACCAGAGGCTGAGGGAATAAAGGTGACCATAAGGAACGACCTTGTTTATTGTTGATGAGGGGCAGCAGAGCAGGGCTAATTTCGGGCGATGACAACGACCTCGTTGTGACGGCCGGTGACGCCAAAACCAGGGACAGCAACAGTGACGTCATCGACACTTTACTCATTTTTAATCACTCAGGAAATCGACCGTGAATAAAGACAAAAACAAAACTGTCTGGAAGATATTCTTAATGACGGGCCCTTCCCTCAAACTTGAATATGTGACATGCAACAGAAAACACGGGCAGTATTAGTTAACCATCACATTTTACCATCGCATTCATCATGCATCAAATAGCTACAACATAAAAAAAAGTACAGGTATTTAGAGAAAAGCTGTGTAAGAACATTTTTCTGTTATTTTCAATGATTCGTCAGACGATGATAAATAAAAATGATAATATTNAGTACAGTAATTTAAAATTAAATGAGCTAGCAAGCTGCTTAACTGCTTGCTCACTTTGTGTATCTTTGGTCCTGTGGTAATTTAATAGCAAAGATATCAGTCTCATACAGCACTTCACGGCACCAGCATCCAAACTAATACCTGGAGAGTTGCAGGAACTCCAGACCAATTTCCCTGGTTTGTCATCTCTCCTTCTTTTTCTCACCTTATCAATGAAGGAAGGAACTTGTGGGAAGCCCCAAAAACTTACTGTGGTTTCGGTTGAATGATCCTGCGTGGGAGTGGATAATATTGACCTCGTCTGTTCGCTGTAGTCCTTCTCAGGGTCCGTTGGAAAAGTAGTGGTTGCTGTCGCTTCAGTGGTCGTCGTCGTCGACGACATGGAAGCATTGGTGACTGTCGACGTGACAGGATCAGTGCTGATGGTCACTGACGACGGTCTTGCAGACGACTGTGTCACGGACGCTGTCAATATAATGTCCGGTACAACAACAAAAACATAAGAAACAAAATGAAATATTCAACGCATGCAAGGTCGTGTCAAGGCTGAATAAGTCTACGAAAAGTACTTATGTTCCAGCAAAAAAAAAAAAATCGACGATTTTTGTGGAATTAATGACACAATTTTGGGCGCGGATCATTATTGAACGCTTAATGAGGGAGATTAATTTACGACGGTAAAATTTCTATATATAAAAGGAACCAAAACATTTTTTGGAACGCAAAATTGTTTCTTTTCGAAAATTTCAATTCTGTATCTTCTTCCTGGAAATTGCACGTGCATTTCTTTTAGCTTTTGTTTTTATGGCCAAATCAAAAATTTCCAGAGAGAATAATGCATTAAAACCGCAAAAGTAACAAATAAGGATATTCAATAAACAAAGAATTTTCCCAAAACCCAAATCCAATTGTTGATTCAATTAATTCAAGTAACAAAGATTTTTCACTTAAAGTAATGCATTCCCTTGGAAGCACAGGGTCAAACCCAATTGCTGATTCCATTGATTAAAATAATAAAGGTTATGCAACATAAAATATTTCATCTAGAAGCAGTGTGAAATTCAATTTTTCTTCGGAAAGGAATTCATACCCAAAATATTTTCTGTTCCATGCTTCCGTCATGGAGATTATTTTGCGAATAATTCGTATGATTATGTTCATTCCACCCAAAAACACAGTCCAGTTTAGAACTAAAATTTTTTTTTTTCAGAAATCTTAGACGAAAATAAATGTCTTGGTACTGAATATTCAAAATAGTTCATCACAGGATTATTTTCAGCATTATTTAAGCGCTAAATTCATGCCCTTCAGAGTAAGAGACTTGTTATTTATTCATTTATTTACTTAGTTGTGACTGTTGTTAAAATCTTCTTTGGAACATTTGAAATATATCTCTAATTTTAACTTAGGAATTCTGCGGAGCATTCCCGGCCCCAGTCCCGCTGAGTCTGTGTTTCAATCCTCGACTTTTCTAATCTTTTTCCACAGCCATTATTTTCTAGTTCGTGTGTTGCGGAGGCCAGAGCCCCCAACACTTACTTATTTACTCATTTATTTCGTTTAAAGAAAAAATTCGATACAGCATCCTCTCATTTTTACGTGCAGGACTCATTACGGGGAAAACAATTAAAATTTGAATGCGTTTGAATTTTATTTTCATCTGGATGCTGCGTTTTCTCTTTCTTATTTTTTCCACATCATTCTCACCAACAGTAGCAGCAGTAGTAGTAGCATCAGTGGAAGAACCTGCGCTCTGTGACACCGACTCCGGCTCTCGATCGACACAGGTCCACAGTTGACACACGAGCCCCGGGACGCAGTGCCAGTCGCCGGCGCAGTTGGCGCCGGCGCCTTGTTGACCGCCACAAAGACTCCTGGGCCAGCAGGGGCGACACTCGCCCAGCCGCACGTCGCAAACTTCCAGTCTCGACGAGTCGCAGTCTGAGTTCTGCTGACACGTGCCAACGAATCCGACTTTAGCCAGTCTTGGAGACTGCCGATGACCTGACTGACCCAAGGTCGAGTAGACCACCAGAGGCTGAGGGAATAAAGGTGACCATAAGGAACGACCTTGTTTATTGTTGATGAGGGGCAGCAGAGCAGGGCTAATTTCGGGCGATGACAACGACCTCGTTGTGACGGCCGGTGACGCCAAAACCAGGGACAGCAACAGTGACGTCATCGACACTTTATTCATTTTTAATCACTCAGGAAATCGACCGTGAATAAAGGCAAAAACAAAACTGTCTGGAAGATATTCTTAATGACGGGCCCTTCGCTCAAACTTGAATATGTGACATGCAACAGAAAACACGGGCACTATTAGTTAACCATCACATTTTACCATCGCATTCATCATGCATCAAATAGCTACAACATAAAAAAAAGTACAGGTATTTAGAGAAAAGCTGTGTAAGAACATTTTTCTGTTATTTTCAATGATTCGTCAGACGATGATAAATAAAAATGATAATATTGAAAAATTCCCACTGGGTTTTTTTCCCGAAAAGAGCGAGGAATAGAAATAAATAGAAAATATATAAATCGAAATGGGCATCATTTGTAAAACTTTGAAGACCATTGAAATTAAGTTGAAAGGGTTCGTCGTCACATTTATTTTTATTTTTGTTTCAACTAGCTGAAATTAGTGACGCGAAGTTATGCAGAGAAACCCCGTTTTAAATACTTTTACATATTTTTATTGATTGAGTCGTCATGCAGACAAGGAAAAATAAGAATGAAATATCAACGAAGTCCATCTGCATGTTATTTGTTTGACAAGAAGGTAGAGTGAGGAACTAAAACAGAAAAATTGGTCTGCATTTTAGAGAAAAACCCTTGCCATTCGAATGCAAATATTTGCACTTGAATGTTTTCTTCGCAATAAAATTTACAACATGCAAATTTTTCACATTCTCAAGCCACCCTAAAATTCAACTTCGACAATTTTTATTATTGTTCTGCATTTCTCCAGTTTTTTTTTAATACAAACAGTTGTCCCAACTTCTGAGTAGACAATTTAAAATTACTGTACTCTGAGCAGAACTTTTGTAGTAGAGAATTCAACTACTGTACATTACTATCCATAAGCGTTTTCGATTCAGCAATTTATTGAGAACTTAAACACCTCTGAAACAAGCAAATATTACGATTTTTACTGAATATACAGTATTTTTGAATGAAGCGTGTGATTTCAAGCGTAATTTACTCAATTTTTTTCAGGTATCTCATTATGCTAAAAAAATCGCTCCAAAAATGGATTTTGGAATCGATCCCATAGCATACTATATTTGACGAAGGATAAGAGATCTGTTCTTCCTCACCCGCAATTGTCACGGATATACGATCTCGAATTCGAATAGATATATTAAATAAAGACCATGAAGATAAATTCAGCTTTTCAGAAGGCGGCGAATCAATATCGAGAGCCTCTATAAAAATGCTGCTAGCGTTTTTGTGCTCACCCGATCACCTAATTTACCAAAACAATTTGTCCATGAAAGGGCCACTTCACAAAACATCTCCGTAAAATGTTGAGTATCGAATCAAATTCGACAATGACACTTGCACAGATCCCTCAAGTCCTCCCACGTTCTCAACCACGAAAGCCACAATAAATGGAAGCTTCTAGGAACCCGGAATCTCCGTACAGTATAATGTGACCAAAGAGTGGAAGTACATTCCATCAGCTTCACTAAAGCTGAAAAAGTACAACATTTATATATTTGATGTTTTTTAAGCCTTCCGAATCGTAGTTAAATTATACATGCCACCAGTCACCATTTAATTGCTTGCAGTTCTTTTTAATTGTTGCCAGAATAGCGTTATGTCAACGTGCACCGGAAATATTTTCTGTAAATGTGTCTCCAGTTCTGGGATTCCATGCTTTTGCACAGTTATCATCGCTATTATTGTGTTCTGGACTTTTCTGAGCAGGTTTTTTGTACCCCATGCTGTGGGGTACAAACCCTTTTATTTCCTGGGGTTTTTGTCCGAATTTTTTGAGCGGCATTAGTATTCAAGACAGTCAACTGGACTGCAGAACGAAACTAACAAAAGCTGTGCTTTGTAAGATAGAATAAAACACTTGTGAACGGTGACGTTTCAAGGTTTCGGAAGCCCGGGAATTCATGAATAAATTCTTTCAATAGTAAAATAAGCAGAAAAAAGTTCCCCACTCATTTTTTGGAAGAAAAAACGTGCCGAATTATTTTTCGGGTACATGGCAAAAACACTGCTCAATTACTGTTAGAATTTTCTGCGAACCGAAATTATCACCAACAATATTATGCAGTAATTGTTCACACTGTACTGTATTTCACTCTTATTCTGAAAAACATACAGTGCACAATATATGGACAAATTTACTTATTTTGGACATTTAAGCTTTAAAAAAACATCTGCCTGACACCAGGGCAATATCTGGAGGTATGGAAACTTCTCCACCAGAAAAATTGAAATATTTTTTAAAATTTCGTTGAATCTCGAAAATACTGAGCAGAGTCATCCCCTGCACAACAGACCTTGAGCACAACAGTTTTTTGTGGAACAGACTGCCTCTGGAGGCAGTTTTTCCTGTTGCATAACGGAGAAAATCTGCATAACAGACTTAGAATTGCATGCTGCCAGTAGACATGAGTCTCTCACTTCCCCCTTTTGTACATCCCAACTGAATTTGCATAACAGACTTTTCACACAACAGTCTGTTGCACAAATTAAGTTCATTGTACAGGGGTTGACTGTATATATATTCACATAAATTAAAATAAATTTCATTATACAATCACAGTACTGTACTCTAATTCATGATGAAGAAACAGGATGATTTTGTGCTTCTTTTTCAGAGTTTGTTTGATCATGCATTTAAAAAAATACTAGACATGCTATTTCCTTCTTGAGCTCCTTTTATGATGCCAAAAGATTAGATTCCGAGTGGACTTCTTTTGCACAGGTATTTTCTGCATCTTGGAGTTTAGATACAGTTTTTTCAATTTTTGGGACTTTATTCACAGTTTTTGATGAACAGGAGAAGCAATGAAATATTTTGTCTTTGCAGTGACCATTTGGATGCTCCAAGAGAGGGACAAGGTCCAAGCACCAATCATGTCCATATCTTGGGGTCCACAGTATCTATATTTAGTTTTAGAACACAATGTTTGATGAAAATAAAGACTTTCCTTTGTCATCTGCTTCAGAGAACAGCACCTTAGTGGAGGGAGTTGCCTGCATTTTTTTTTTCAAGTTTTCATTAATATGGTTTTCAGGACCATACTGTGGCAGTTTAGACCATGAAACTACATACCTTTTGACAGGGAATGGAGCAAGCATTCACTTAATGTTTTTTGGTTACCATAGCTCAATATACTACCAAGCTATTGTTATCCTATTTCCTAAGAAATACAAGAATCGGTGAGTCTTAAATAAATTCTTACTATTACGTCTAACAGCAAGTTTATTAAAGACCTCAAATCTTGAGACAAAAATTTTTATCCTGGTCTTAATTAATATCTTCCGCGTGCTTTGCGGGCCAAAAGGTTTTTTAGATAGTTCAAATAAAAGTATATGCCAGGATCTCACATAGAGAGGCAATAATATATTTCAGTGCAGTACACAACAGTCTGTTGCAAAAGCTCGGGCACAAATGCTGAAGAGTATAGTGTTGCATTGTAGTTTAAAGAGCCGCGGTGGTCAGTCAGCAGGTTGCTCAACTTGCAGGCTGACACAGAAAAGAAATATACACATACGCATATAAAGAGGACAGCGGCACCCTTGATTGCTGGCCACAAAACTCATGACGCTGCAAAGTTTGGAGTGAACACTTTTTGGGAAGGGAAAGAAAAGAGAAAACACACAAGAAATATGGGAGCCTGCGCACCAGTGCTACCTGTAAAAATACCTTAGGATCACACTATTCTAAGTAAAAAATCTGTGCACTTTTCTTACCCATATCCTGCATTCCTGTTTAGAACACAATGTCTGATGAAAATAAAGACTTTCCTCAGTCATAAATCTGAAGAACAGCACCTTAGTGAAAGGAGTTACCTGACAAATTTTTGTCTGAAAGTTTTCGTTCAAATGCTTTCGTGACCATGCTTTGGCACCTGGGACAATAAAACTACACACCATTCAACGGGAAATTGAACAAGCTTTCACTTTGTGCTTTCTTTTTATTACCACAGCTTAATTTGCTACCAAGCTATTTTAAGTCAAACATCTGTTCACTTTTCTCAACCATCCTGTACACATTCCAGTTTAGAACACGATTTCTGATGAAAATAGAGACTTTCCTTCATATAGCGTACATACACCCAGGAATTTGGAAAGGGCTAGAGAAAAAAATCGGGATCGCACAGCTCAGGGAACCTTGCAGTGAACTGTCGTACTACAGGTAATAAATATTCTGGCATTGCTGGTGAATCCATATGGATTCGGGATATCCGAGTCGTTGTACCATATATACACGCTTTCGTGTTACTAATAATATTTTCTCTATTGTCCTCCTCAAAACACCATGCAATCAGGGCATTGAACCTGAACGCAATCCTCAGGGGCAATCCCGACTATATATACAGGCTTTACTATATTTGGATGACACGCAATACGGAATCAGTTCCGCCGAATCATTCAAATTCGAGTCTGTGCATCAATTTCCTTTTCCCCCGAATAATATAGAAAGAGGTTGGAAAACCCTGTGACAAATGGGAGGAATAAAATGGGAATGGATGATTCATGAACAATTCGAATATGAAACCCTCATCCTCGAGAGTTCATAACCGGAGTTTGTTTTTAAAATCAGACGAAAGCATGTCTTATCTTCATTCCGCAGAATACAGATCAAGGAAAATTTGTAAGGACATTTCCAACCAGATTTCAGGGTTGATATTTTGGGTTTCATTCACCTCCAAGTTCAAAGGTGGTCTCATACGTAAAATGCCAGTAAATAATCCCAAGATGAGTTCTGTTGAAATAAAACACATAATTTTGATAAGATCTGCTTAAAGAATATATGCAATCGCTCTCTCTAAAAGGTTATTTTCGCATGCTGTAGGCTTTATTTACTACATTTACATCATTCCCTCCACACCACAAACTTTTTCTGGTTTTGTGAATTATTTCGTCGTAATTGCGAGGGGCTACACGTTTCCGCGCGGATCAGCTTATTATTGTTCCTTTTCTGCGAAGGAGCTTCAAAATTCA